CATCTGGTTCTATGATAGATGAGCTACTAAATGTCTTCCATTTCATTTACGACAATTTTCACAATCAAGGACATTGTGTATTGGTAAGCTTCGACATGTGTAAAGCCTTTGACACGATCTTCCATACTATCCTGGTTGAAAAATTGAATTCTATCGATATAAAATATAGACTCTTAAATTAGTTTACATCATATGTAAGTGATCGACTTCAATGTGTCAAAATTGATTCAGTTTTTTCGACTGTTGTTAGTGTCATCTGAGGGGTGCCCCAGAGCTCAATCATGAGTCCTCTGATGCTCATTTTTTTATTAATGATCTAACTTCAATCGAATCTGGTTCACCACTTTACAATCTATTTGCAGATGAGCTTTTCATAGTCATTCCATTTCTCTGATCTGATACTACGGCATATATTAAATCGATAGTTCAAATGGAAATCGGTAAGATCTCGCAATGGTGTTTGGACAATCGTATGGCGCCAAATATCGCCAAATGTTCATACACACATTTTCTACTGAGCTTATAGCTCAGTTAGAAATCAGACTCTTCAGCTGTCAGGCGTACTACTTTTACTCTGCTCCTAAACGGTTGGGATTAAAATTCTCTAGATGAAGTAGATGAATCATATTGAAGAAACAGCTCTTGATTTCAGAGGAATGTTAGGCCTGATAAATCGCACATTTTCAAGCTCACCATCTTCAATTCGTCTCTTGCTTTATAAATCTTGTATTTGGTCGAAAATGGATTATGCTTGCGCAGTATTCGATTCTAATTTTTCAACTCACACTGCGCCTCTCGACTCTGTTCAGTGTTTAGCAGCGAGGATTATTATAAAAAATTTTGATTACCTTAGCGACAGCGAAAATCTTGTCTATCTATTCTGTCTTCCCAAAAAAAAATCTACGTACTGATAGGAAGTATTTTTGCTTTTGCAACTTTCATTCTATTTGTAAAGACCTATCTCTATTGAGATCATCATCATTCATTAATTACTCCTTATGTCCTGAATTATTCAATTTGATCTACTAGCAAAGCTACAGTGCATGTATCCTTTACTCCATATACTATGGTTCAATCGTCATTCTTCTGAAATAGTCCAAAAGACTATAACCTTCTTTCAAACGATCTGACATCATGTATTAATATTCGTACATTTAAAAATCGATTAGCGATAGCGGTTTCTCAATTTTTAACTGTATTGTTGTTTCTGCCGTTACTACTGTTTCTATTCTCTCGTCAATTATCGTTTCCACGTTTGACTTATCTATTTGATGTTATTGTTAATTTTTTGTATTCTTTATTCATCTATTTTTTTAATCCTTTTTTCTTACTAACGGACATATCGCAAGGCACTTGTCACCTTAAACTAGCTCTGTTAAAAACATTTAGCTATTGTATATGTTCATCATTTTTGATCAATTAGAATACTTTATGAGGTATCGATTTGTATCAAGTCCTCTAATAACGGCGGTACTGATCCTTATACATGTTTGAACAAGTCTATCTCATCGGATCTGTCTCATCGAGTTGCGCGGAATTATGTATAAAAGTCGTGTTTTGTCTCAACTTCTATCGAAATTTTTCTGCATCCCCGCGAGAAATTTTTTTCACCCACATTATCATCATCCTTCAGCGTAGGACTATTCTCTTGACAATTAAATTGTTGTTTCGGTTTTTCCCTTGAAATATCAATGGCTATGCCATTTACGCATATGCTTGTAACTCATTCACTATCTTCTTACTAATCAGTGACTAACATCAAAAAGATAAGCTGTGATCTTAATACTTCTGCATACGAAGAATGCTTGTCTGAAAGTGAGATATGCAACAAAGCTAAAAAGAATGATAATGTGAATGAGCGGAAATAAATAAATTGCTACCTATACTACTTATTATTCAGATAAGTTCCATTTAGTGATAGTGTCGTATCTCAGAAATCCAAGATAAAAGTGAATGATAGATAATTGTATTATGCTATTTAAATAATTTCAGGGTATTTAAACAAAAAAGCGTAAAGTGGGGTAAAGATTTAGATAAAAAAGTCGTTAAAAAGGTGATTTTTTTATTTCCATCTTAATAAAGCAAATTAACATCAATTATTCCATTAGAAAATGTGATGTTTCTAGGAAAAAAAAGTGAAAAAAGATGAATATAATAATTCGGATACACGTGAAATTTCTAGTTTGTCTGTAATTTGTCTCTCTTTTGAGAAAGAAAATAGGCATATTAAAAAAATAAGCCTTTTTCTGTAATATAGAATAAAGTTTTAACTACGATGTTGAATTCAAATTAAAACTAAGGTAGGACATGCCATTTTCTTGTTTCGCTTGTCAACTCTTACAACAGTAAGGTTTGTCTTCGACATAACTTCAACCTTCGGAGAAGATATATAATAGCACAAAGCATTTTCTCTGCTATACATAGCTTTTTGAATAATAGACTGAACCCACATCTCAATAGCAGAAAAAAAATCGTGTAGTTAGCTTAAACTAGTTGGAATGAGTCAACTACACGATTTTTTTTTCTGTTAGGGAAATTTCTTACTATTTTGAAATATTTTAGAGGAAGTACTATTATTTCTTAGTGTTTTATTAAAAAGCAATACTTGTTTCTATCATGATTAAACTTTATGTGGTGTTTATTCTGGCATCCAATCTTTGTCTTTTAAATTGCTATGCAATCACTCATATGCAGGTGAGCTTTTAATTTGATGCTTGTAATCTACAAAACGAATTTATCTGTTTCCAGAGACCAGTTAGGTCTGATTTTGACGAACAATCAAAGAGTTCCGAAATTATCTCTAAATCATTTCCTGATGATGACAGAAGGTTTGAAACGTTTTTAACAAAACTGATTTTAAATGTTTTGAATCATAACCTACAACCAGTGTATGAGCTACAACAACGTCGAAGAAGACTACAAAAACGTGGAAGACGTACGTATTTTATAGTGTGTTGAAAAGCGAACTCATTTGCTGTGCCCTTTTCTTCTACTCATTTCAGAATGTTTATGGAAAGTATGCAGTTGGGCATTAGATAAACGATCAATCAAACTACCGTATTAAGAAAAACTGCGTAATATTAACAAATTATTAGTATTTTTTCTGTAAAATTTTTTAACTTCGAGAACAATAGTTGCCTGAAAATTTTATTTCACTTTTTATTTTCTGTCATTTCTGTCATATGTTGGCTGCTTTATTCCCTAGTAAAATCCCTATGAGTTTCCTGACAGAATTTCGTTTTAATTTCGTAGGATCCTAACAAAATCCTACAGAATCTTGATAAAATCATGTATATCCGAAAGTTATAGGATTTTCTAAGATTCTGTCACGACCTTAAACAAACTTAAGCAAAATTCTGGTAGGATCCTAGCATTTTAGGATCCTGCTAGGAAGTTATTAGATGGGTCCTAAATGTCAGGATCCTGTAAGATCCTAGTAGGAAATAGAAAGGAATTTTGAGCCAGTTTAAAAATTGGAAAAATTTGGGGACCTAATTATACTGATCGCAGCTGCATGAAAAATCCAAACAGTCTAGACATTGAATCGTATTGTAATTGTATAAATGTCGTATATCTCCATTGTCTTGACGTTTCGCTAATTATCGCTAGCTTCAAATATCAGTTAGGACATAATGTACAGATTAATGAAATAAAACTTAAAGAATTCAGTTGGTGCAAAACCGGTCCGCTAATGTTGCTTAAGGATAGTTGCTCAATACTTCAGCAATCAATAAACGTTAGTAAACTCGTTTAACACTAGAACGCCCAAAGCGGTCACTTTGACCGTTACTGTTTTTTTTAAAAATTTTATACTTAAAAATGGTTCTGAATTCAAAAATGAATTAAAAATTCTGCAAAAAATAATTTTGCGGGACAAATTAAAATTTATGACATAATTTATTTTTAAATAAATTGTATGCAGTTTGTTTTATTAAGGATAAAAATCACAAAACAGTCAACTTTTTTACAAGCCTCCGGGTTTTTGTACTTACCTATGTGTATATTATTTTCTACAAGATTATTTTCTACACATGAAATAAAGTTCAAGTTCCTTCATATTTTCGGATGGCTCCCCACTGTATCCCGTAATGTAAAAATATCTGTTGAAGCACTCGGCTAGCAATGAAAATGGTGTATATTCCAAAACTTAACTTTCCTCCTTTTCTTCCTTCAACAGACATTTACCTTTCTTACCTTTTTTGTCTATATGGATTTCTTCAACATATATTTTTGTTGTTACTATAGTTCATCTCATAAACATTTTTTTAAGACATTCCTGAAATTTCATTCAAAACTTTTGCGCGTGGGTTGCTCATGAAATCGGTGTAGAAATCGAACGTAAGTAGAAATTTTCAAAAAATTTTGTAAGGTATTATAATATATATTATATATGTATCTTAAATAGATCATCTGTCATATACGTTGGAAAGATTGCTACATTCCTCATTACTGGTATCTCTAACTTGAAGTCCTTCAATTAATGTACTTAAAGTATATCGATGTTCAAGTCAAAGAACTAAAATATGATACGATTAGCAGCTAAAACTTGAAACATGTTCTTTTATCAAACAGATCTGCACCTAATTTTATTTTTGGCCATTGAGTTTCTCACGTTCTCTGAAAATTCCCAGCCCCCCTTCCCTCCACCGGCTCCCTCAGAAAAAGCTTATAGAACAACTACAGAATTTGATCTACAAACTTTTATATCTTTTGTTACGGGGAGATCCGCAGAACGACACTATAAAGTGAATCATGTTGCACATAGTATGTCTTGGAGACCAGCTATCTTGATTTGTTTTATTTTTCCAGCATAACAAAAGTACACATAAAACAATTTTATTCACTAAACGAATAACTACGAGGAAGTAAAAACAAATAGAAGAATAACAAGAAACTGTCCTAAATGGTTATATCTTTTCAATGAATAAAATTATCTGTGCACATAAAAAAAAACGTCAAAATGTTATGAGCTAAAAAGGCCACAGTTACTCAAATGTTACTTAATTTGCTTTTTTATCTTCTTTTAATGCAACTGTTCTATTAAAGACGAACTAAAAAAAGAGAGAACAGAGGAAGAATTTTTAGATATGATTAAGATTAAATATTTATTTACCTTTTCACTTGTCGTATCTGGATCAATACTAAAAAAACCAATACGTTCAAACTGATATTTATCAAATGGTTTTCCATCTTTGAAGCCACTATCAATCAATGCATGAGAATTTATTGTTAGTGAATTCTAAAGATAAATACAACACAAATAAAATTAGTATTTTGATAAGCTTATGTAACATACCACATTAATGTCTGATAAAAATCCATTTGGTACTTCTTTCGGATCGTCTGGATTTGGATGGATGAATCTTGAAAAAATAAAGTCTACTGTTATTTAGAAATTTAAACAACAGGTTGATTTTTCTTACAATCTATCGTATAGTCGAATTTCACAAGTGCTTGGATGTGATACCCAATGAATAAAACCTTTTGGTTTTGATTTGTTATCTATTTTCTGACAAGATACCTTCAATTCAATTGGCTCACCATTGGCATCCTACAAAAATAGAGACAGATTAAATTAATACTGGACTACTTTGATGATCACTCAAACAAGCGATTTCTCTGAAACTCTTTACTGCACTCATATAAGTTTCTCAAGCCAATCTTGTCATAAGTACGACGTTTATTATTAGAAAACTTCTTAACAATTATCTCTCGGGCTTTGTGACTAGAAAAAATAGCATCAATAGACGCGTGAACTATTGAGCATATAATTTTCTTTTGGAATAAAATGAGGAACAATTTCAAAATTCTAAGGTATTATGATGATATTAAATACATGAAAGGAAAAAGAATCTAGAACAAATTTCAACTGAAATCTGGATAGTTCGTAGAATCATACTGATATTATTTAAAAAAGCAATATACCTTTACAACTTCTTGAACAGTAATTGCTAAGTCAGCATATCGAAGTCCACAAGATTGTGTTAACGTCAAACGTTTGAAATCTTTTCGTGCTTCCTATAACAAAAGTAGGCGGAGAAACTTGATAATAATACATGTTGATAGTTATCCTACCTCACTAAAATCTGTTTTCTCTATATAAATAATCGAATCAAATACTATTTTATGAGATCCTCGTGTTTCTTCGTGTGGAAAATCTGGTACGGTCAATTCTGTTTCTTTATCATATGGATAATTTGTTATTGTTACTTTAAGTGGTTCAAGAACAACCATAAGACTAGAATTAAAAAATACGAATTAATAAATTGATGAAATTTTTTTGTTGTTATTTTCTTTCTTACCGTGGTGCTGTTGTATGCAATGTGTCTCGCACAAAAGAATCTAACATATCCGGGTGTAAAGCTGTTTGTGACATTGTCACACCAATTTTTGAACAAAACGAATTAATAGCTTCTGGAGGAAAACCACGTCTTCTCAATGCTGTAAGTGTATAAAGTCTTGGATCATCCCAATCTCTAAATAAGACACAAAATAAAACGATTGTTAATTATAATTAATCATTCACCCTTACTTGACCACTTCCTTCTGAATAAGTTTCAGAATTTTTCTTTTTGATGTAATTGTATAAAGAAGATTTAGTCGGCCGTACTCCCATTGGACTGGACAATAAACATCAAGTGCATTACATAACCAATAATATGATGAACGTCTAAACAGACAAAAAACAACAATCTGAAAAAGCGCTTATTCCATCGTTTTTTCACTGTATTACCTTGCTTGAAATTCTTTCGTACACAATGAATGGGTAATATTTTCAATTGAATCATTCAAACAATGAGTATAATCATACGTTGGATAAATGCACCTGAAGAAAAACAATAATAAAGACAGATGAAAACGAGTACAAATATACTTTATTACATACCATTTATCTCCAGTTTTAGCATGATGAGCATATTTAATTCGATATGCTACGGGATCTTGTTTTCCATCTTCCATTACGCATTTCATACGTAATGTCGCTTCCCCTTCGGCAAATTTACCATGACGCATATCCTATTAGAAACAATACATCAGATACCAGAGTAAAATTACAAAATATCAAAGTTTGTTTATATATAATATCTCACCTCAAACAATTGTAATGACTCTTCAACAGGTCTGTCTCTCCATGGTGAAATAGGTACATTATGACCTTTTAATTCTTCATGTTTTTGATGACAAACATAGGCTAAATTTCGTCGAATCAATTCTTTTCCCCATTCATATAATTGATCAAAATGGTCAGATGCATGCGTTATTTTGTACGGTTTATATCCTTAAAAATAATAATATTATGTTTTATGAAAGAATCTAGTTGACAAAAGAACATACCTAACCATTGGACAATATCTACTATGCCGGTAAAAAATTTTTCTTCTTCTTTTTCTGGATTTGTGTCATCATAGCGTAAATAACAAATACCGTCATTGTGCTGAAATTAAACAACCATCTGCTTTTTCACCTTTTGTCTAACATAGCAGTGCTATGAAAACGTACTTTTGCATAACCAAAATTAAAATTAATCGCTTTTGCATGACCAATATGTAAAATTCCATTAGGTTCGGGAGGAAATCGTGTGACAACCTGACAGAAAAATAAAACACTGAAAAATTAAACGGCATACAAGCCAGGAAAATTTCGTTTACCTGGCCACCAGTTTTTTTCAAATGTTCTTTGAGAAGATCCATTGTTTTGTCAGTTAAAACATATCCTTCTGTTTTATAATTTTCTCCTGTAAAATATATTCAACAAACTGCTACTAGCATCAATTTTATGATAATTTTCGCTCTTCTACCTGGTTTGTGGAAATTCAGCGCTTCACCGGCAAGTCCGTTATCTGAATTTTCATCACCTTTGGCTAAAATAAGAGAGAGCAAGAGTTAGAGAGGCCAAAAACAATGAATTCTGAAATAAAAACTTACGTTTTGAAAGTACAGATGCGTTCACATTTTCATTTTTATGTTCAGTGGCGTTTGAGACCTAAATAAATATATAATAAATAAATGCCAGAAATCAAATTATATAGTGAAAGATCCTTGTCTGAAACAATTTTCTTCTCAAACTCACATTGACTTTCTTGCTCTTCTTGTTTTTTGTTGTATTTGCTGTTGTTACTGCTGATGATGCTGATCTGTCATTTGAACCAAGCAGGTCTAAAAGCTTAACAAAAACAAACACATCTTTTTAATTTTGTTAAAATGATGATTTAGAAAATGCATACGTTAGCGCTTATAACATACTTGAACTTCCAATTCTGATTTTAATTCTTTACCATCGGCCCATTTTAAACGCTTTCTTGCTTCCGCTAGAAGACAAAACAAATCATACCAATGTTAGATTGATTTGTTTCAAATTACCCAGTAGTGGACCAGTTGGAAATTCATATCGTTGTTCTAAAAGTTGTTCTTTGTTTTGCGTAATTAGTTCTTCTATCTGTTACCAAAAAAACATGGAAAAATAGTATTGGCTGCATTTTTGAAATAATTGAGGGCAAACATACCACGCTATCAATCTCTCCAGGTTTGACAACAATTCCGATACCAGATGCTTCTTCAAATGCATTGGTATCTATTTTTTCAGTTGGATGTGTTAATAAATAATCAAGTGCAGCTAAGTAACAAAAAAAAATGTTATTGTTTGCTGATGGAGATACTTTTTCATTCTACCTGTTAATTGTACATCATTTTTAATTTTATCTTCACAAATGTATTTGATTAAATGCGGAATCAAATGTTGTATTTGTTGTTTACTTTTTGTTGCTACGCTATACAATAGTTTTCCAACTGTTTTCGGAATATTTTCATTCTTATTCAGATGTTGTTTTGCCTAAATATACACGTAAGACAGAAAAATGTTAAAGAAAGAAAATGGGATTATTAGCAGACATACTTCATTGATGATTTGCTCTAGTTGAGTAGATAATTCACTGTTTCTTAGAGTTTCTTGAGCTTTCTGTTCCGTCAAACCGATTGATTTGAACAATTCGATGCAAGATTCTTTATCAGCAACCATCTTCAATATAGTAAAGAATTTTAATAATAGATAAAATAGCCAAATGCTTTATACAAAAGTAATTGAAGCTTTTTCTTGACAGGTGATTTTACTCCCAGACAAATTCTACGGATAGTCTTATAATAAGTCAAAGATGATTGCAACATAATTATGATGCAACCTATTGACTAATCTCGCAAAACGCATTTTATTTTTCCTGCGCAGATTCTCAGAAGGAACAGATAATAAGTGTCTCAAACGCTCTTTCTGTTGTCACTTTAAACATCTTTCTATGAATAGAGCATTCTCTCTCTCTCTCTCATTTGTGCCTTACATTGTATCTTCCAACTTTATACAATGTTTCGTCATTTACCTCTCTTTTTAATTGGTTGTTTTTAACGGAAGTATTAGTGTTACGTCATGTAGTGACATCTCAAAGAAAAATTGTCAGAAACAATCTCTGACAAGCTCGCAAATTCGAGTTATTATAGAAGCTGTCCATAAAATAATTTAATAAACCTACTGAGTTGTGAATAAAATTGTGAAATTTTGGGTTTTAATTACGATTTCTCTGAAATATTTCCGTCTGACTTGAATCAATTCGCCATCACTGCCCTGTCAGCGGATGAACCATCACGTAAAAAAATTTGCGTGATAGAAGTTATTAAGTTTATCTGAATCTTGTTACATTAGTGTTAGGTTCCTTCTCAAAAAAGCATGCTTCTCTAACGTTATGATATTTTCAACGGATGTTTCTTCCCAGCTAATGGTCAAAAACATTTAATATAAAATACGTTAGTCTATATTATTGATGAATATTATCTATAGTCATGTTTTCTCTTTTTTTCCTTTATTTTTGTCACTGTTCGACTTATTAACTATTAGAGTTAATCAAGCGTTTCACATTAACAGAGAAAAAAGTGAGATAATTTGTCTCTATATTAGACAATAATAATCACAGTATAGCTAATAAATGATGATCAACTGTTATTAAATGCCTGGTTTAAAAAAGTAAAGTAATCTTGTCCAACAAAAAAAGTGATATGTTGTTTAAAAAAGCGAAAGATTTTGTTAGTGATATTTATCTTGGTCTAATATACCGAGAAAATAGTAAATGTGCAAAAATTCTTAAAGCAATCGATGATAATAACGTTGAAGATTTACAAAGTGTACTTTCACAAATACCAACAAAAGACATCGAAGACTATATTAAACGACCAATCGATTCATCAAGACGAACACCGTTGCATTATAAGTAGGTACCTTAAGGACTTCCAGCTAAAGTCTAATGTTTTTTCACCCCTAGTTGTCTCAAATGTATTTTTGAAATATTTTCAGAAAAAAACACTTTTTGTGCACATTAATCCTTTAGATATCTACATTTGTGTAATCACACAATAAATGACAATTAAACCTACAACCCTAGTCGAGACTCCTGATTAATCTCCCGCAGGAGTCCTGGACAAAAGGTCCTACAGGAGTCAGCAGGAGTCCTGTCACGGGATCCCGGCAGGATCCTCTGTGGAGTCATGGAGGATTTTTAAGGGATTCAAGAGGGGTTCCTCAAGACTC